AACCAGTGATATGTTCCCTACATTCTTTTCACACTCGCACTATGAGGAAAAGAGGAATTATTATATGTTGTACTCCTCTCTTGGCAAGATGGTTTATTTTGCATCTTCCCCAATCTGTATTGAAGAACGAGCAAGGTTCAAGGTGGTCACATAGGTTGATGACGCTCAAACATTCAGACATTCATTGGTGTTCCCGATCTATAGAGAATGTTACTATTGTCGACCGCTGTGGAGAATTACCTAATGTCCCATTACTTGGAATTAGGGGAGGTATCACCTACAACCCTTGTTTAGCCTTAAGACAGTCTGGTTACGCCCGAAGGGATGGCCCACATGAGATGCTCATTCAAGGTTTGGTATTTGACTACGAAAATGACGATCAAGGTCACCGCCAAAGATTTATCCGAGTGTTGTACCCAAAAATTTTCCCTCCAATATTTCTAAAAACATTTCAAGAAAAATTCTCAAGTTGCTCAAGGAAGCCCAAGGGTTGACCAGACAAGCCCTCTCCTAAGGCAGTCTACCTTAAATTAGGGTTTCATGTTGCATCAAGATACTTGAGTCCAAGGGATCCAAAATTCTCACCATTTTCCTAATATGTTCCCAAGATCATCCATGTCAAGTTTCAAGCCTTGTAGAGGAAGTTTGCTCAGTCAATTGCTCAAAGGCCCAAAAATCGACTATGCTAGGGCAAAAGTCAACTGTGGCCCATATACAGTCAAACTTCAAGATTTTTGGTCAACATCCTCATTTTGAAGTATTATTAATCATTTGATCAAGGTTTGATCATGATTCATCAAGGATTGCTCTCAATTCATCAAAACCCAAAAGTTGCTAAATTAGGGTTTTGTAGGAAAAGTCAACTCAACTTTGACCAAGCATAACTTTCTCATACTTTATGATAAATGACCCATACAAATATCATTTTAAAGAGGATGTAATGACCTACAATTCATCTTCAGCTCCAAAGTTCAAAATATGTACTCACAAGAAGTTAAGAATTTGGACATTATAGGTCATTTTGAAAAGTCAACAAAAACACCTTTTTTGTCAAAGCTTCATACATGAACATGGAATACCAAATTGAGATGGGACCAAAAGGGTTGATTATGGGACATCTCAAGATTTCTAAAAAGTCCAAGAACACCTTCAAAGAGTCAAAATTGAGGAAGTTATGCATTGGTGAAGTTGACCTTTTTTGCAAAATTGTCAAAAGTCAACTATGCCTAAAATTGCAAATTTTGCTTAATGGGCCTAACTTTTTGCACTTGTTTTGAGTTGGTAGCATGGTCCACGAGCCCTAGAGTTTGCCACTTGTCATTATCTTGTTTTTATTATTTATTTTGATTTTTATTTGAATTAAATCAATTTTAATCAAAACAAATCATGAAAAAAATCAAAACATTGAAATCTCATGATTTTGTACATGTTTCAGGTCCTATATCTAGCTAGCATAAGATTGAATTCGTGTAAAGCTTTGATGTGCACAAAAAGATTGAATTTGGCATATTTTTGGAAGTATCTTAAAGTGAATCAAAATCAATAATGGAGAAAGATTGAGATCATGTTTGCAACCCTAATCTAATACTTGGTATATAGTGATCATTTGCAGACCTAAAGTGAGGCTAGGGAGAGGCGCAAGAACCAGAACCAAACTTGAAAAAAATCACAAAAAGTGCAGACACGATTTCACACTTCTAGACATTTTCAAGACTCTTTAATCATCCCAATCACTTCCTAGGATAACAAGCAAGCAAAACCAATCAAGAACAAGCACTTTCAGGCCCTGAAACGCATTGTAAGTCAGCCACGACATTGCCTTTTTCTTGAATTCGAATTGCATCATTCTGACACTTATATCATGAAATAATTATATATTTTTGTTCCTTAACACATTTGCAAGCTATCCATTACATCCAATTGCATTTTTGTAGATTGAATCAAGAATTGTCATTGTTAGGGTTTTTGGTTCCGTTTTAGGGTTTTTGTGTGAAGGCAAAATTAGCCCCCATGAAGGGTATCATGATGTTCAGGATGACAAGATGGTTCAATTTATGGCATTAGAAGTCATTTATCGTCCCCATGGAGGATTTTTAGATGAACCAGGGTTGTAGCTATGGACATACGTCCGTAGGTAAAAGTCCTTGCATTTTTTAGCCACGGAGAGAGGACAAGGATGATGGCGTGGCAAGCTCCTATTGCCTCGTTTAAAAATGCGCGCGCTGAATTAGCATATTATGCCTTTTTAATATTTAATTATTGTTTTGTCTTTGATGTACAAATCAAACAGCTAGCACAGTTGGTAGTGGAATGCTTGGAAAGTGCTTTGGGGCCTGGGTTCGAGCCCCAGGTCCCCCAATTTCTTCATATTATTTTCTTTCATGTAATCAGGCGCGCATGCATGTTTGAAGCACACCATATGACCTCATCATCCAATCTGCCAAGTGTCCAGGAGGCCAGATCTGAAGGCCATCAATGAAGGAGCATCATAGGTCATGGTCAATGCAATGCATGGGAACCAGCAGGTCAACGTGGGTCAATCCCTTTTGGGTCCAAGATATGCTATATACACCCCTCCAAATCACTTTATCAGGCCCAATTTTCTTCTTTCTTTTCTTTTTTTATATTTTGTTTTATTTAATTTACTTATTTGTTTTTGTTAACATAAATTAATTTTCTTTTTATAAAAAAAAATCACAAAAATTAATATTTTCACCCAATTAGATTTAGGTTTATTTTTTATCAAAAATTAATTAATTTAATTAGGTTATTTAATTTTAGGTAACTTTAATTATTTTGTAAATAAATTAAAATTAATTAGAACAATTAGAGTTTTTGTTTCCAATTTAGTTATATTTTCTTTTTCTTAAAATAACCAAAAACATAAAAATAGGTTAAATGTAATTTATTTTCTTTAATTAATTTAATTACTAATTAATTTTGTATTTAATTTAAAAACCTAATTCTTTTTCTTAAAAATAATTAAAAACAACAAAAAATAATTTTTCTTTCAATTAGGTTAGAAGGGGTCAAAACCCCAGTTCTCTCTCGTTCTTAATTTCTTCGCGCGCGCTTTATTCATTTGTTTTTACCATATTAATGTAATTGCTCACAAGTTGTAATAGTTTAAATTAGGACTTTTACTTTCATTTATCGTTTTTTTAAGGGTTTGTTTTTGGCTATGTAAATACCTGAAGCCTTGTAATAGTGTAGCTTATTTTCCGCACTTTAAATTTCACAAAATATTAACTGTTAGATGTATGAACAATAGGGATGCATGACAAGAATGTATGATTAACTTTAAAACAGTTAGCAAACCCTAAATGTGCAAAGATAATAACTTGAAATTGAATCACTCGCACATGCGCACTCCTAGGGTACACTCCCACTTTGGTTGCCTTTGGTAAATGGTCATTGAGTATAGGATGTTTTAGTGGTCTCTCTCTTGTCCAAAAGATCAAATTTGCCTCGGAAAGGTTGCCTCGGAATTGTTGCCTCGAATATTGATCTTAAGACATTAGGGTTATTACTAAGACGTCCTAACATTGCTTTAGTGACCGTACGTCCCTTTCGAATTGACCCTCAAAACTCCAACGACGGTACTACCTACTCACTAATAGTGGGATAGCGCTGTCTAAAGGAAACTAACATAGAACATTATTCTTTCGAGTAGGTAGATTAGCTCTTAAGTACTTGCTCAAACAAAACAAACTTTTTCACACTTACACTGCTTTTCAACAAAGTTTTCAAAAAACACTTTGTTACACTCTTGAAGACAGAAGCAAGGGTTAAATCGAAGTCAAACAAAAACTTTTCAAATCAAACAAACACAGAAGCAATTTTGAAAATGATGAGCAAGTACCTAAGAGCCCGTAGATAACTACGGATAAAAAGGGTGCTAATACCTTCCCTTTCTATAATCTACCCCCCGTACTCAGAATATCTCGAAAAAGGAATTTTTCTATGCTTTTTTCCTTTCCTAGTTGGATAAAATAAAATTCGGTGGCGACTCTTGCTTACCACGACATTTTGCAAACACAAATGCAAAACGCAAACCAGCATTCCTAAAACAGTCCCGGTTCTGGCCACCGTATCACAGAACTGGCGACTCTGCTGGGGAATTAATAAGTGGGGTATACCTTAGGAATAGTTCATCATATTGCTTCTATTGTTTGATTTGATTGCTTTATCTTTATGGGCTTTGTATCGGAGTTACTATAGATCCTAACCCGGATCCGAGGAACACCTGTTAGGCAAGTAGCAATAAACTGTGAGGGAACTATATGGCGTAGACCGATACGGTTGAAGCAGTAGCTACGTTAATGTATTAGTTGGTACCGATATCCCTTGTGGAGGAACAAGGATAATATGGGGCTGCTATATGGTTCGTTAAGCATCAATTGACCTTAGAACCTATAATTGACCAACTTGGCCATAGGAAGTAGTGAGATAGCTGGCCTCGGTATAGAGCTGAGAATTGGTTGATACTCGATACTACACTCATTGAGACCATACTCTCGAGATAGTTCTGGCTGCAAGAAAAGATTGAGTGAGCTGAAACCATGACCGATGAAGGATGGTCAGTGATATTGAGAACCTCTAGAACCCGGTTACTATTATTAGGACAGGTTGAACCGACTGAACTTCAAGAGGGTAGTACCTAGACTCCATGAAAACCTAAACTTAAGGGCTATTATGTGACTTGTTTGCCTTTACCATGTTTGATACCTGTTATACATGTTGTGTGTTTTATCATGACATCATGCATCATGACATAGCATGCATATTTCATTAGACTAACCATTTCAAATACCAAGGGGATTCATCTTTGTTCTGTTTTGCAGATTATGGCTTATATGCACAAAAATACCATTCGAGTCAACTTCGTGCAGATACCTGCTCAGCTCAGAGAGTTGGTCTAAAAAGTTCCTGATACTTCTTCATTTGTTAGAAGACATGGTCATCTACTTAGCCTGGTCACTTCAAAGTTGGATGAGCAAATGATGAGCGTGTTGTTCCAGTTCTTTGACCCATTGCATCATTGTTTTACCTTCCCGGATTATCTGCTAGTCCCTACTTTGGAGGAGTTTTCTGATTTACTAGGCATATCTATCCTCGAGCAGACACCCTTCACAGGTTTGGAGGAGGTTCCTAGACCTGAGGACATTTCTTCAGCCTTACATCTAAAAAGGGCTGATATAGTATCCAACTGGGAGACACGTAGTGGGGTTAAAGGTTTCTTGGCTAAGTTTCTAATGGATCAAGCTCAACAGTTCTGGGATAATTTGGACTTTCAAGCTTTCGAAGACATCCTGGCTCTCCTCATCTACGGCTTGGTTCTCTTCCCAAATCCAGATTCTTTCATAGATGTGAATGCAGTTGTTGTACCCCAAAATTTTCCCTCCCATATTCCTTAAGACTTGTCAAGAAGAAGCTTCAAGATGCTCAAGTTAGCTCAAGGTTTGGACAGTCAAATCACCTCCTAAGGCAGTCCAGTCAAAATTAGGGTTTTGTGTTGCATCAAGGTCCTCACATCCAAATGACCTCAAGTGCTCCCCAATGTCCTAATATGTTCTCAAGTTCATCCATGTCAAATTTCAAGCCTTGCTGAGGACGTTTGGTCAGTCAATTGCTCAAGAGACCCAAAAGTCGACTGTGCTAGGGCAAAAGTCAACTGTGTCCCAAATACAGTCAAACCTCAAGATTTTTTGTCAACATTCTCATTTCGAAGGATAACTCATCATTTGATCAAGGGTTGATCATGATTCATCAAGGATTGCTCAAGATTCATCAAGATTCAAAAGTTGCTAAATTAGGGTTTTGAAGGAAAAGTCAACTCAACTTTGACCAAGCATACCTTTCTCATACTTTATGAGAAATGACCCATCGAAAGCTCATTTTGAAGATGATGCAATTTCCTACAATCCATCTTCACACCCCAATATCAAGAAATGCTCTCACAAAAAGTTACAAATTTAGACATTGTAGGTCATTTTTGAAAGTCAACAAAAACACTTTTTTTCCAAAGCTTATAACTTGAGCATGGAACATCAAAATGAGATGAGACCAAAAGGGTTGATTATAAGACATCTCAAGGTTTCTAAAAGTCCAAAAACACTTCCAAAAGTTCAAAATTGAAGAAGTTATGCATTGTTGAAGTTGGGCATTTTTCTAAATTTGCCAAAAGTCAACTATCCTCAAAACTCCAATTTTTTTACAAAAGGGCCCACTTTTTCCCACTTGATATAGTCTTGTCATACCACACACGTGTCCCATATTTGATTTCATGGTCATTCATTTATTTTTCTATTTTATTTAATTTTTATTGATTTAATTCATTTATAATCAATATTAAATCAAATAAAATCTAAAAATTGATGAAATGGCATCTTTGTGATTTGTAGAACTTTCAAATACCATCATGAACCAAATCAAATTCGTATCAAGCTTGGTTATGCACAAAAAATCAGATTTGGCCTATTTTTGGAAAGCTTATCAATGGTGATCAAATCCAATATTCCATCTTCAATGCACTTGGATTATAGCCCATTTTTTGACCTAAATGCATTCTATTATATTCACGCAAGCCACACAAACCTAAAACATGCATAGAACACTGCTAAAACGGCCAGAGCAAATTGGTGAAAAAGCTTGAAAAGTGGGAGATAAAAAACAACATTGGAGGCCAATTCAATCCCAAATCACAACGTAGCTCTCTTGCCAGCAATCTCCTGAAGCTATAGCAACCAAAGCCAAGGCCTGAAGCTATCTGAAAAGCGCTGTAAGTGTTCTTGAAAACAGCTCTGAACATGAAATCGAAACCATTCATTCTTGCATCCTTTTGATAAACTATTGGCATAATCTTGATCCTTATCAAATTTCTAACAATTCTGCATCATTCAATTTGATTTTTATGGACCATACTGTGATGCCCGATTCTAGGGTTCTTGTTCTTGTTTTTTAGGCATTTTGTGTACATGCAAAATCAAGGCAAATAATGGTTACAGGGATGACCAGGAGGAAGAGACGAGTGCACTGCTACTCTTGGGTGTCGTTTACATGGCCTAGGGAGGATGCTTGAGAGATCCTATGAATCTTCCTGCGGATAAAAATCCGCAGGTAATGAACCAGGGTGATATGAAGAAGACGATCACGTGGCTGGGCGTGATTGGCCAATTTGAATCATAGCGCGTTTTTATTTTTTTGCAGGGCATAATTAATTGTTTTACATATAATATTATCTATCCATTCCACTAACGAATAAAGCAGTTTGGTTGAGTGGCTGGGGCGCAGGCATATGAGCATTGGGACCTGGGTTCGAATCCCAGGTCCCCTAAAATTTTATTTGCAATTTTATTTCAGGCAATTCTATGCAGCATGCCAAGCTTGGATCACCATGATCTTTATCCCATCAAATGCCAAGTGGCCTGCAGGCCAAATCCAATGGCCAAAATTGGATGCTCACCATACTCCCCAGTCAAGGCATACGCGTGGAATAATGAAAGTCAAAGCAGGCTGGAATACGTTTGGGCCAAGGAAATGCTGACCAAACCTCCTGATTTGGGGCCCAAACCCCCTTTGGTTTATTTCTTTTCTTTTCTATATTTCTCTTATTTAATTTGTTTTATTATTTTTGTTGTTAATTAACCAATTAATAATTTTTCTCATAAAATCAGAAAACAAAAATAATATTTTAATTTCACTATTTTATTATTTTGTAAATAAACATTAAGTAATTTATTTAGTTTAATTAGGAACAACTTTAACATATTTTGCATTAAATTAAAATTAACCTAGAATTAGGGTTTTAATATCTTTTAACCATTTTATTTTATTTCCTTAATTAAAATAAAAACCCAAAAATATTTTTCATTTAATTAATTAATTCAATTATTAATTTAGGCTAATTTTTAATTCAAAATAACCAAAAAAATATGCTTTATTTAATAAAAAGGGTCAAAACCCTAAAAACGCTTCGATTTAATTTTCTCGCGCACGTATTATTTTTGATCCATATTTCAATATTGTAACTGCTTCGAGAATGTAATAGTTTTAATTTAGGACTTTATTTATTTATTTATCGCTTTTATTTACTTTTCGCAATTTAATTTTAAAAGGGTTTGTCTTTGGCGATGTAAATACGCGACGCCTTGTAATAACATAGATTTATTTCCCGCAAATTTAATTTCCGCAACCATTAACTGTTAGATGTTTGAATAATAGGCAATGCATGACAAGATCAATTTTAATTTAAAATCAACAGTAGCTCACCATTAACATGTACAAAGATAATATAACTGAAAAACAATACACTCACACATGCCACTCTTAGGGTACACCTCACTTGGTTGCCTCGAACGTGGTCATTGAGTATAAAAAGTTTTAGAGGTCGTTCTTTTGTCCAAAGATCATAAGTTGCCTCAAAACGGTTGCCTCAGATAAAATGATCTAAGACATTAGGGTTACCGCTAAGGCGTCCTAACATTGCTTTAATGACCACATGTCCCTTAATCGAATTGACCCGGAAACTCCAACGATGGTGCTACCTACTCCTCAATAGTGGGATAGCATTGTCTAAATGACATTTGTACAGTTTAATTCCTTTTTGAGTAGGTAGATGTTCTTAAGTACTTGCTCCTTTTAAAAAAAAAACTTTTCGCACTTACACCTCTTTCAAACAACAAAACTCTTTTCAAACCCACAATCACAAAGAAAAGCAAACTTTTGAAAGCATAATGAGCAAGTACCTAAGAGCCCATGGATAACCACGGATAGAAAGGGTTCTAACACCTTCCCTTTCTATAATCTACCTCCCGAACCCGAGAAATATCTCAAAAAGGAATTTTTCTGTGCTTTTGTCCTTTCCTTGTTGGATAAAATAAAAGACGGTGGCGACTCTTGCTCACCGCGACATTTTGTGAAAACAAACGCAAAACGCGAACCAGCATTCCAAAATAGTCAATTCTATTCCCACCGATCACAGAACTGGCGACTCTGCTGGGGACTTTTAATAAGTGAGGTGTACCTTAGGATTAGATCACTATGTTTTCAATTGTATGCTTTGTATGCTTTAATTTTGTGGGCTTGTATCAGAGTTCTATAGATCCTAACCCGGATCTGGGGATACCCTTTAGGTAAGTAGCAATAAACTGTAAGGGATATGTACGACGTAGACTGATACGGATGAAACAGTAGCTACGTTGGTGTGGCACTTTAGTCTGTACCGATATCCCTTGTGTTGGAACAAGGAGAATATGGGTCTTCTAAGGAGTCATTAAGCACCAACTGACCTTAGAACCTTAAATTGACCAACTTGGCCATAGAACAGTAGCAGTATGCTACACTCATTGAGACTAAACTCTCGCGATGATTCCAGCTGCAAGAAAAGGTTGCTAAACTGGAATTATGACCAATTGAGGGTAGTTAGTGATATTGAGATCCTCTAGAACCTGGTTACTATTTTTAGGACAGGTCTTAACCAACTGAACTGAAAGAGGGTAGTACCTAAGCTCCATGCCAGCCTGAAATCTATGGGCTTCTTTTGTGTGACTTGTGTGCCTTTACGTTGTTTGCCTTTCGTGGATACTTGTGGCGTGCCTTTATCATAAAATCATGACATCATAACATTGCATACATTTTGCATAAGGACTAACCTATTTCAAAGACAAGAGGGTTTCATCTTTGCTCTGTTTTGTAGGTCATCATGATGCCCATGCGTAGGAATACTATCCGGATCAACTTTGTCCAAGTACCTACCCTGCTTAAAGATTTGGTTGTCAGGATTCCAGACACTACTTCCTTCATCAAAAGGCATGGTTCTCTTCTCAGTTTGGTCACCTCAAAATTGGACGAACAAATGATGAGTGTCCTGGTCCAGTTTTATGATCCGCTATACCATTGCTTCACCTTTCAAGACTTCCAGCTGGTACCTACCCTGGAAGAGTTCTCTGAGCTGCTTGGTATCTCTGTTTTGGAGCAGACTCCATTTACTGGTTAGGAAAAGACTCTTAAGCCCGAAGAAATTGCTGCAGCCCTTCACTTGACCAAGGAAGAGGTAATGGCTAACTAGGAGACTAGAAGTGGAGCCAAAGGTTTTCTGACTAAGTTTTTGGTTGACAAAGCTAATTACTTCTAGGATAGTTTAGACTTCAAGGCGTACGAGGTTATTCTGGCTCTCTTGATTTATGGTCTGGTATTGTTTCCGAATCCTGACACTTTTGTTGATATTAATGCCATAAAGATCTTCATCTCTCAGAATCTGGTACCCACTCTCCTGGGTGATATCCTTCATCAGCTCTATGCTCGTACTGCCCAAAAGTGGGGAACTTTGATGTGCTGTGCTCCTTTATTGTCGAGGTGGTTTATTTCGCACCTCCCTAAGTCTGTATTGAAGAACAAAGAAGGAATGGGATGGGCT